TGAGTACCACGGCGCAGATTCCTCACTTGGGCAGGTCTAGCCAGATAGCCGGGATTGCAGCTGCATTACTACATTGGCATGTCGTGGCATGTCACATTAAGATCGTCGGAACAACATTCAGGTTTGTAAGGTCGATTGCTCTTTGCGGAGTGCATCCACAGTCATGTGTGGTCGATGCGTAGCATTCGATTCCAGGTCAGGAAGAACCCCGGCGCGCTCCGATATCAGACGATTATCCGCGGTATTGCTTCGAGCATCGGTCACACCGGAGGGGGCTCGGCTCAAGGCACGGCGCACTCTTCGGCCGTCGACCGTAAGTAGTCCCGGACTGGGCCTTGGTCCCTTGATGTCAGATATCAAGTAAGCCACCCATCGAACAATATCTGCTGGTTCCGCGTAAGACGATACCTTTGCCCCTGATCCGATCGATTTAGTAATCGGTAGTCGTTCGACCTGCATTTCAGACTTTTTTCTTCCGAACCCATCGCACTCGGGCAATCCTACCAATAACTATACTTATCTTGGACATTGACGACTTACACGGAGCTGAACCCTTGCGACCAACACCACTGCATCAACTTCAACCTCATTGTCATTCATTCTCACAATCTCTTTTGACACCGCGCGCAAGTAACACTCACTCAGTAATCATGGGCTCTATTCCTCGCGAGACTCTTGAGACCGAGGTCGATCTGGCTATCATCGGCGGTGAGTATTCCTGTCGACATATCCATACGAGTAAACGGTAAAATCTGACTCGAGAGCGCAGGCGGACCGACTGGTCTTCTCACCGGCTACCTCGCAGAGCAGCTTGGTGTGAAGGTATGCATTATTGGTACGTTGGCAAAAACAACTCCTTCGAGTTGAGCTTCATTATTAACACGCAAAAAAGATAGCAAGAACGCACCTCTTGATTTGGGCAGAGCCGATGCGCTCAACGCTCGCACCCAACAGGCTCTTGAAGTCGTTGGCATCCTTGACGACCTTATCCCGCAAGGCATCACCTGCAACAGTAGGCTCTAAGTCACCTTCCTAATTTGATAAAAACGCAAAAACTAACATATCGCAGCGAGCTCAACCTTTGCGGATGGTGAATTCAAGTCTCGCCAGAGCCAATGGTGGACTGGTCTTGAGCACTGTTTCCGCAAAAACTTCCTGATGATTGGTCAGCCCGCTGTCGAGAAGGTTCTTGCAGAGAGACTCAAAACGCCAGTCTGCTTTGGCGAAGTCGTCACTTCTATCTCAGAGGACAAGAACGGCGTGGTGACGACAACTAACAAGGGGCGAGTGATCCGCAGCAAGTATGCGGTGGGAGCCGATGGCGCTCGCTCCACAGTCCGCAACACGCTGGGAATCACCTTCACCGGGACCAAGCCTGAGATGGTCTGGGCCGTTTTGGACACATTCATTGACACGTCGTTCCCCGTGTGCTCCGAGATCATTACGTTTCAGCTTAATGGCCAGAGCCGAGTCTCGTGGATCCCGCGAGAGCGTGGCATGGCCAGATTCTACATCCTGCTTGATGGCGAGATCACGCAGGAGAAGGCCGAGAACTCCATCCGCGAGCACATGGCTCCTCACCGAGTGGACTTCAAGAAGACGGAGTGGTTCAGCACGTTTGATGGTAAGCGGCACCCTGGTGCATCGAGCCGGCGGCATAGCCCGCCCTCGCAGCGTGCCATCCCAAGTTATTACATGACGATAGCTGACATTGCATGCAGTCAAGGAGCGCATTGCGTCGACATTCGTTTCTCAGAACGGAGGCGGCCGCATCATCCTGGCAGGTGACGCAGCGCACGTTCACTCGGTGAACGGTGGCCAAGGCCTCAACACCGGTATTGCCGACTCGTTTGCGCTATCATGGAGGCTGGCACAAGCCATCACAAACGACAAGCTCAGCCCTGACGCGGCTGATAAGCTGATTAGGAGCTACGACATTGAGCGGCGCACCGTTGCTCAGGGCGTTATCGATGTTGCAGCGAAGCTTGTCAGAGACACAGTTCGAACGGCAAAGGAATACGTCTCCACAATCGAGAAAAACGCTGGGTACATCACAGGTAAGCTTGTCTTGCATGTTTATTGCGCTGTATTTTCCTAGCTTCCCCCCCTTCTAAGTCCCCGAGCCGGAGTCCTCTTAGGGCTGCGCTGCTGTTCTCCTAAACTCTGTTTGAGTATCTGGCCCCCTTCATGGATGGGACATGGAGACCACTGCAGATTCGGGAAGTCCTTCCAGAATCCTAGACCACCCTCCCATGCGACAATCCCTCCACTCCACGTTTCTCCACGCTCCCGAAACCTAGCAGCATTCAAGCATAGGTACACTACTCCGTAGCGGCAAGAATCTTCGGCTAATCTTTTTCACCAACTACCTTAGGCATGGGCGTGTCTTACGATGGCACTGGCTCCCCCCTGATCCAAGAGGCCCCCAGCCAGGGCATCTGGACCGCCGGCCGGCGCTGTCCGGATGTCTTCCTGACGCCAGCATCCGGAGAAGAGCCGAAGCGCTTGTATGATCTAGTCGCTGGCAAGTATGGCAAGCACTTGGTGCTGAAGATTGGACGACAATCGAATGGTCCCGCCCTGGGAGATGGTCTCCAGGATTTGACCAGACTCTTCACCGTCGCTCCCCACAATGCGGAGACTCCTCGTACGACCGCTGTGAGTGAAGATTCTTCGTCGCCAGAAACGTCCTTCTCAGCCGAGTGGGCGAAGGACGATGACGACTTCACCGTTGTCGTCAGACCCGACATGTACATTGGCTACGTCGGTCTCGGAGGAGAAGGGTGGAAGGATTACCTGTCGTACCTGACTCAGTAACGGGTGTGAGAAGCAAGTTTTCTGCGACGATGATGTTTTTGTTTTTAGACAAGATGATGTACCATTACCGGATTTACTGGAGCGAACGCCCAAAAAGGGCAAACGAAATTCTTCTTAGAGAGACCCCTGATAGCTCAATTTACGGATAGACAAAAACCAACTTTTAGTATGCGCACACCTCTCGCAATGTGATTGATCATCATCAGCCAATTGGGATGGGCATGGTGATCTAAAGTCCCTTGTTGGCTTCCGTTACGATGCACATGGAGCTGCGATATGCAGATAATCTATCACATCGTGTCCACATATCGTCGCTTTCCTCTGTGCGAATTACGGATACGTTGTCATTTATCGTTCGCCCCCAACGTGACGCTGGGCGTCGATTCAATCGCTTACTTATTCAGGGGACTCGTAACCGAAACCGAAGAGCCGAAGAGACCGAGGAATATGTATCGGCTTTTGATAGCGCGATAAAGACCCCCAGCATTATTAGGTTGTGCTTCTTCAGCACACAATCTGCAACTTTATTTGGAGTTGCTGCGGCCTTACTGCGACCTGCCACATTGATCTCCAGACAATTGCAGCGCGACCCCATTCCGAGTCCCGACGACCACCACGTTCCGTCGGCTCGGAACTGGCACTGCAGAAAGCGCGGAACCGATCCGAGGACAATGCTTGAACCAAGTTGAACCAACATCAGGTTACAGGCCTGGAATGTGGGATACTCCGTAGTTTCCCTGAATAAACACGTCATCATCCTGAGACTCCCCCCACGCCGACGGTTTTTCCGGCTGTCATGCAAATGGCAGACATTTCATGTTTTCTTCATCCCACCGGTGTGCGGCAACTAGGGCGGCAACTAGGGCGGCAACTAGCGGGATTTCGCGGTTTGTTTCTCAGGCTCTTAGCTAATAAACTGCTAAGTCAGCTTTCTTGAAAATTCAGTCCCCGATTTTCGATCACCGCGCCAAGACGTACATAAGGAGGGCCTCGGCATCTTTTTATCTATGAAGAGGAGCCCCGAACTGATTTTGTCTACAGTTCGGCGTTCAGATAGCAGACGACGACGCCAAAAAAGCTGATAAGACCCGCTACCAAACGACGGACTATGGCCGAACAGCTCAGAAAGACTCAAAGAAGCATTTTCTCATTCACCGCCCAGTGTAACCTAACCAAAATCGCACAAGAATTATCAATCATCAACTCCACTACTCCGAGGTTTCGACGAGGTTCAAATGCCTCAAAGCCGTTGGCATTCGCAGATTCCAGAGGAGGTCCGAGACGTTGGAGGATTCTCGCAATGTGACATGATGAAGCCCCCCCTCGCTGCGGACACTTCTACCTAGGACAGTCCGCCTCATAAATGCCAAAATCGATGTGTAGCTTGCGAGGTATTATTCTACGAGTGAAATGTTCAGTAATAGACTACTCTGACACTTTTTGTTTTCCGTCTCCCGCAGCCTGCAACGTTGATCCCTAACCGCCCTGGCCGATCCGACTTCCTCATTGGGCCTCGAACCTCCATAATCCTCAAGCTTTCTGACTCTTCAGACCGCGTCAAGACTTGTCTGGTCTCCGAGACGTTGGAAGTTTCCCGAACAATAACAGCCAGGGCCACTGTGCCTGACTTGCACCTTATTTTACTCGCGGCCCCTCGCCTCAGGTTATTTACATCCCACCTGGAAACGGTAAGGTTACCGCTATACTTTCCCCCAAGTCATCGCAACAACGACATACTTGGAGGTCCATCTGGTCTCTGTAACGTGGCCTGCGACCGCGGGCGGCGCAACCCGAGCTGCGGCGAGGCCCAGGCGGCTTTTTGAGGGGGTCCGTGGAGGACTCCGTCTATTGTACTTAAACAAAATGGAAGGCTAATTTTCCATCTTGGCTCGTTCTTTTGCTCAGGTGGGAGAACTGGATAGATGTCAGAAAGGCTTGCTGAGCAAGCTCTTTACCTATCGTTAATTCATTCATTTCGTCGTCGTCGCTGGATGATCTCTCGCTCTGTTAATCAAGCCGGCCTTGACAACGAATCAGTACGACCAACGCCACAGCCGCAACCAAATCCACCAATCGAGGAAAGGACCGCACGACGTACCATCCCGGTAGTTGCATCACCGCCGCCTGCAGCGCTAGCAATAACCGCGGTCGATACTACCCAACCTATTCGTATTGAGAGAGCCATGGAGTACACATCCGATAAAGAAAAGCCCTACGGGCCGGGCGAAGACCCAATGCAGAAGCTCGACGAAGAGAGCGGTAGCGATGGTATTGATGAGTTCAAGTCACCGCCGCCATCGCCCACTAAGCCGACGGGTCCCCCGAATGGAGGCTTGAAAGCCTGGATGCAAGTTCTTGGCTCGTTTTTCATTTATTTCAACACATGGGGTAAGTCATAAGCCGGACTCTCCGCCCATACAATGATTCTGGGCCATGTGCACTGCCATTTTTTTGGCAAATGAGATCCCGCGGCTCCCGCATAGCCTGCATCAATTTAGGGATGAAGCCAAGCAATGAGCGCGTTTTGAACTAACAATATTCCAGGACTGGTTGCCAGCTTTGGTACCTTCCAGGTCTACTACGAGGGTCACCTCCTGAAGGAACACAGCTCTTTCGCTATTTCCACAATTGGCTCGTTGCAGAGTTTCCTAATGGTGTTCCTGGGTCTCTTTGCCGGCCCCATCTTTGATTTGGGATACGCCAAGCAACTCCTTTGGGTGGGAACCACGTTGATCGTCACCGGGTCCATCCTCCAAAGTCTCAGCCACAATCTTTGGCAACTCTTGTTGACACAAGGTCTTTGTGTCGGCGTTGGACAGGGAAGTTTGGCTGTGCTAGGAGTTGCTATCTTATCGCCATGGTTCACTACTAAGCTACCCATGGCAACCGGTATTGCAGCAGCTGGAAGCGGTGTTGGCGGGTAAGTCGTCCCTCACCAAAAATCTCCGGCTCAGAAAGTATCCCGCCGGCTAAGGCTGGCATCCGTACTAACATCGTCTTCTCATAGCCTTGTATTGCCGATTCTCTTCAGATCGATCCAGCCAGAAATTGGCTTCCGCTGGACTGTGCGCACCATGGCGCTGATCGCGCTCACAACTCTCAGCATTTCCATCGTGACCATGGAACCGCCCAAACCATCGGCCTTCAGAAGACCCTTAATTGACCGCACTGCCTTCAAAGACGCCCCATACCTACTGTTCGTAGGCGCCTGCTGCCTCGTGTTTCTTGGCATGTACACTCCATTTGTCTACATTCCGGGATACGCTTTGGCGAGGCATGCTGTCAGCACCGAGATCGACAAGTACCTGCTTGCAATCCTCAACGGCGCATCGATTGTCGGCCGCACCGTACCAATCTTATTCACCGCTCAACTCGGTCGGATGAACATGCTCATTGTCGCAGTAGCGGCCTTATCTATCTCGGCATTCTGTCTCTCGGCAGTCACTCACACTCCTGCGTTGTTGGTGACGGTCATCTTCTATGGAACTAGCAGCGGAGCCTTTTTCTCTCTGCAACCGGCTACGTTTTCTCTTCTCACGGAGGACAAGAAGTACATCGGAACCAGACTTGGCATGGCATACGCCGTGATGTCTGTTGCTCTGTTGCTGGGTTCTCCCGTTGGCGGCGCACTCGTGCGCTCTGTCGGCTACGTTAGCGCTTGGATCTGGGCAGGAGTGACCCTTGGGCTGGGTAGCATTACAATCGCATGTTCGCGAGGCATGGCAACTAAGTGGGATTGGAAGAAAACACTTTAGTGCCCCAAAATTTGCATAACCAGATTGGTCTATTAATATAGAGATGATACCCTGATAGATTTCTGTAGACTAGCTTAGCCTAGATGACTCACCGCTTAATGCTTACAAGATGTTGATGCCATTTATCCGGATGTATTTTGCTTCGTCTCATGTGTGATGTCGAGGCTAGCCGAACCAGCTCTTGGCAGCTAGTCTTTCATCCCATGGGACTACGAAATTCCTATAAAGTAATGTAATTATGAAGTAATAAACGCTATCCGCATGCTCTTGTATGGTCAGTAGATTTCTAGGCAGATGCTCTAGCAGTGAGCCTCATCTGAGGCATTTCCCACCTTCCGCACAAGTTTGGCTCTACCGAAAACAGTGAGACAATTACTAATGGTCATCCCAGCTCGGATGAAAATTGAACACGCGGCACGCATAGAATTAGTCGTGTCAGGTACCATCTGAGGTGACATTTCACGCGTCCAATTAAGCATATTTGACAGTTCCTTTCTTTTTATGTAAGTAGCGTATGCCCTCTGGGCACATACTCAGCTTCTTGGTCCCTATTTTCTGAGTCAACTTTGTCTTACTCCACCCACTCGGCGCAGTCTACCCTAGTTAGCATAGATGAAGTCAACATAACGGAGCACCCGAGGTGTCGGAATCTTCAGCCAACGCCAAGAAATAAATGGGTGCTCCATACGTAGTTTCCCATGGCAAGCCCAAACCTTCCGTATCCTTGGTAGAGAACCACCGGTCCTACTTCAAAAAGGACCCTGAGCTCCACTACGGAGTCAGTGGAGATCAGGCAAGAGGGTTAGGGCCCTGGCCAGGATTCGAACCTGGGGCCTCTTCCAGGTGGATTTGTTTTATGACGACCCTAAGGAAGAATCATACCGCTAGACCACCAGGGCGTTGACAATCTCACGATAGTCGCTGAGTTGCTGGGAGGGGCGGCCGTTGTTTCGCCTGTTCATCCTCAGCGAGTGTTGCGCAGATGGCGTGACTTATCGTGTTGCTTCGTTCAAGAGAGCGCACAGACCGCGACATGACTGCTTAGGATAATGAACTTGATGTGACTCTGTTGCTCATGTAAATGTGAAAGGTAAATGCTTGTTTCGGCGGTGCTTGATGTTGTGTTGTGAGAAATAACAATTCGTGCGGATGGTTCAAAGTCTCTGGCGCCTTGTAGCCACTTACTTTACTCATGGGAGCATTCGATTATGCCTCCACGCTTTTTTTTGATATTGCAAGCATGCTGAGACTCAACCAAGTGCTGCAAAGTAGTTGCGGAATATCCTTTTATTCCTACCTAGTAGATACTTAGCTATTGTGCTCGGGAACCATACGAAACTGTGGTCTCGTGGGTGACTTGAATCCTTGCGGCCGTCGACGGCGTCTTTCGACCGTCGTTTCTATTCGCAAATGAGTCCGGCGCAATGTCATTGGAGCCAACCACATCAGCTGCATAATCTATTCCGCTACAAGACCTTTGGTGCTGATTCGACTCGGATTCGATGATTGTCTCCCGCTCGCTGACAATATTCTTGCGACACCTCCTTCCAGACCATAAGTTAGCTTCGTTATCGCTACATTCTGCTTTTCCCGAACTCTCTTCTGGAAGGTCATTATGCGACTGTAATTCGTACGATTCGGATTGCATGTTGCCTCTTTTCCTGTTGTTCTCGATGACGGTAGAGTACGGCAATGATCTTTTCCCGCTCTTATTCGTAGATCTAGTAATCCGTGAAGAAATAAAGCTTGGCAGGTATCGGACAAAGAAGGGCTTCAATCCAGGGACCGAGGCGCACACAATGCCGGCATTCGCTTCGAGGAAGGACCAGTTGAACTGTTCGGCTACATCCCAGCTGTAATCGCACTCTTCAACAATGGAGGAAGGATGATCGTCCGTTTGATCGCCGATGCACAGACACTACGTAGCAGTTAGGACAAGAGTGATGCTTTGAGGGAATATGATAGATGGAAGGAAAGTAGGGGTCTGACAATGCGCCGGTGGCGAACAATAGAATGACAGAAACCTTCTGCCTCCGAGCCATCTGAAGTGGAATAACAATCTTCAACGGAAGCAGAAGGATTACGACGTCCATAATGATGTTTGCGATGCTGAGGATCATATAGATAGTCTCTTTGTCGACGCATCGGGCAGTCTGTAGTGCCTCTGCGTCCCATGATGCGTAATTAGGGCGACAACCGAAGATGCTTAGCAGTTGGTAGGCCACAGAATAAACGATGACAATTCCGATGAGACTTATGACTAAAATCCGAAAGTTTCGATCGGGAGACAGCCGCAGGTAGAGAAACAGGAGGGATAGTTTCGCCAGTACGACACTGAGAGAATACGTCATAGTCGTACATGTGCCGTACTATTGCCAATTGAAGTCAGCTTTCCGAGAAAATACCTTGCGCAGAATCCTACTTCGAACTCGATGGCTCATATCCTACTTAAAGTAAGGTAAGGATTATTGGGCAATCGTCAATTTACAATGAGAAATCCGGGATTATAATCGGCATAAGTCTCCTGCCAGAAATGCGATCCAACGCCAAGATCGATCACTAAGTCGGTGAGAAAAAGAGCAGCCAAGATGACAGGAACGAGTGCAGACTTACTCTTCATTCCTGTGGCCAAGAAGGCCATGCTCATGATCATGGAAGTGATAATCAAGTCTGTTTCCTAAGTGTTAGTAGGTCTCTCGGATCACCGGGTCCCGGGATACAAGTATCCGTAATTATTCAACTTACAATCGTCAACGCCTAGACTCCGTTTTGCGACGTGTAGTCTCGTAAATACTTGAAGGAAAACAGCCAACAAGGAGATGACAGTCGTCAAGACACCTGCAGCTATCATATCGATGCTGACTGTCCTAGCTGCGAATCGAGCTTCACCGACAGGAGGCTCAGCCATGTAGAAAACATGTGCGGCAGTCTCCATGGCGGAAATCTCGAAATATTGAGGGTCTCAGGAAGGTGAGCGAGAGATGATGGACGCAAGCAACTGTGAACTCGTTAAAAGTGCATTCATTGAGTGGGATACTGTAAATCTTGAAAAATATTGGGTGTGGAACAATGATCGACATTATAAAGAACAGTTGGTTCCAACATCTGAGATTAATCAGACATTGAACCATGTCTCGGTGGCTATCCCATTTAGCATCGTTTTCCAACAACGACTCTTCTCGGAAATGTTTCCCAATGGAGGCTCTCATGTTCATCAAAGATGTTGTGGATCACTTGATCACTTCGTTGGTTCTCATGCAAGGATGTAGCCCACTGCATATGCATTTTCGCCTTGCAAGGGGCAAGGTCTCCAGTAAACATGTTGTCCAGTTGGTAATGAATTGCAGCCAAGAATGTCTTGCGATTTTACACAACATCCGAGTCTTGGGCCACTCTCATCATTTCCTTCGGGGTCTCTCCTACATGCCGGCTAGCTAAATATGAGAATGACTTCAAGTTTACGATGGACCTCCAATCCGAATTCGCAGTCTAAAGTTGATACAAAGAACAAGGTATCTCAATATACGAGAATAGGCTTATACCTATGCTTCAACTACGGACCCGTGTCTGTAAGATCACTCTCTAAAAGATGGACATCCTCGACATAGAGCATACAGGCAGCATCCGTTGCGCGAAGTGCGGGTAGCACTAGGATCTCGAACCCACTTAGTGTTTCGATATCTCGCTTGGACGTATGCTACGTTGATCATCAGGATCAAGTGCCTGAACGTCTTCATGTCTAGTTCTACTGGTATTTTCAACGGTGACGCTAGTCTACGAATCGCATATGCTCCCTTATTCGTGCATCAAAGTTCGGCCGCGAGATGGGATCTTGGCCCATCGGAGGCAGCACGTTGGCCGATATGCGGAGCCAAGGCACTAGAGTGCCGGATCCTAGCCGCGGAGACAATGGCTCTTCTCCGGAGCCACCGGATGCCTGCCATCGGTGTATATGATACGATTCAATGTGATAAGCCGGGGTTGAAGGATGTCGTTGGAACCAGGGTCATCAATTCACAACCAACGCCAGTTTCGTCTTGAGAAAGTGCATGTGGGATTGCCGATCAGAAGTTTTCTTTGGCTGGCTCCCAAAGACACGAAAGCATTTTCTTCCTTATCTATAAGCTTTCTTCGGCAATCATGTCTAGCTATTGTCTATCATACCTTACTCTCATCGGTGCATTACGAACTTTACTACTACATAAGACCAGTCCATGATGTCTCAAATGCAAAGTGAGAAAGAGAAGCATCCGGAACTTTTCAAGCCGGACTTTACCATTGATAGGCGGCAATGCAAGCGCGTCGTACCTCTTGAGGTCTTGGCTCTGGGAATGTCTAAGACCGGGACGTCGTGTAAGTCACTTCCAAGTAGGCCCAGGCTTTTGGATCGATCATTCTAACAAGATCCAGCTATGCAGCGAGCACTAATGATTCTCGGTTACAACGACGTCTACCATGGATTCGCCATGGTCGCAAACATTTGCGAAGTCGAAATGTGGATGGAGGGCATGCACGCGAAGAAAACCCCCCAGCCAGGCCAGCAACCGTTTGGCCGCACAGAATTCGACCAACTCCTCGGCCACTGCGGAGCCGTTTGGGACATGCCAGCCAACTTCTTCGGACCCGAGCTGGTGGCAGCGTACCCTGAGTCAAAGGTAGTCCTCGTCGAGCGTGATATCGAGGCCTGGTACAAGAGCTTCGACGAGAGTATCGTGACCGTCGCCTTCAACCCCGTCTGGCGATTCTTGTCGTGGTTACGAGCCAAGTATGTGGCCGAGATTGACGATATCACCTTTACGTGGTTGAAGTACACCTTTGGTGCAGATACAAAGAAGGAAGTCCTCGAGAAGGCTCGGGATGGGTATCGAACCCACTACGCGACTATTCGGAGAGAGACACCCCCTGATCGGTTGCTCAACTATAACCTGAGGGACGGGTGGGAACCATTGTGTGGCTTCTTGGGGAAGCCTATTCCAGATGTTCCGTTTCCCCATGTCAATGATCATGATGCATACCACGAAAAGCTTCATATCATCATCAGAAAGGGTGCGGTCGCATTTGTGAGGAAGGCGACATGGGTTGTAATTTCCGGACTGATAGGTGTGGTGGCATATAATTTTAGGTGGAGGGAGGGGTTACTGGCAAGTATTGCAGGAATTAGCAAGTGAGCAGTAGCTAATACAAGTAAACTCCAAACCCTCGAATTATTCCGGTGAGATTTTTTAAGACCGTTGGCTTTGACTGTCGATATTTGATGTCCGTTTATAGCGGCGTGCCTCGTGACTCTTCAAAAGGTCAGTCAAGTCATAGGCTTGTACAGTTTATGGAATGAAGAAAGAACTGATGGGACAGCAGAAAACGAGGGAAATTAAGTGAAACCTTCGAGTCAGACATGAATGATCAGCAGAGAAACCGAGTGAGATTGCTTTGTGGCCTTGTGCGAAATTTCTCCTCCTGCCTGGTGTGAGGCAGCCGCGTGCGATACTGAAGCAGATAAACATAATAGAGTCCAATGTCAGTGAGGCACCCTCAAAATACAGAAGTGATTACCCCTCAATAAATGTTTCAAGCTCGTGTTCACGGAAATATTGTTATAGTATCTTAGCCGACTTGCCTTATCTGCCTATGGTCCGCTGTTGCCTTGAAAGTCTTCTTTGGTATTCACCTGCTTCTTGCCGTTGAGAACGGCCGGACGATCGTTCTTTCTTGTTCAGAATAGAATGTTCACCCAATAATATGAGTGAATAATTCCCTGTCACTTGGAACTCGCTCACTATCTCGCCCATCCTCGTTCCCACATTGTCTGCCACAGCGCTCTCGATCTCATTCTCGTACTTGCCTTTGACTTCTCCCGCCCTCTCACTACCTTCCAACATCTGCAGCCCATCTGCCACAGGTCCTCCCATAAAAAGGATCTCTTCTCACCCGCTGGTCTGCAGATTTCATTCTTCTACATCCATCTCATTCCTCTTCTTCCAGGATTCATACTTCTATCCGCCCACTCCTCCTCCCTCATTCTTCGGCACAATCGCAACCTTCAGTGTTGTACATTCTTGCATACTTAATTGCAACTCTTCGCCTCTCATCACAGACGATCCAATTCTCATCACACTCTCATCAAGACTCATTCATCATGTCTTCCGCCGGCTCTTCCTCCGAGGCTGCTACTGCCGCCAAGTCCGTCCTCACCGATCGCGAGCTCGAAATTCTCAAGCACGCTTGGAGCTCCTTGAAGAGCGCTCCCGAGGTAAGATCTACCCTCATTTAACACCTTCACCGTTTGCCTCACGTATTGGACACCGCTAACTCAATTTTCATCCTGCAGGTTGACTACGCCAAGCTCGCCGCGGCCTGCGGCATGACCAACCCGCGCTCCGCCTCCAACGCCTGGAGCGGCATCAAGAAGAAACTCTTCTCCGATCTCCCCGCCCAGTCCAGCGACAGCGCCGCCAGCAGCCCCGCCAAGCGCAAGATCGCCACCCCGTCCAAGAGAAAGGCCGCCCCCGCCGCCGCTGCTACTACTAGCTCTGACGACGCCGACGAGCTCGCTGCCGCTGCTGACGCCAACCTGAACTCGGACGGCGAGGAGAAGCTCGTCGTCGAGTCGCCCGTCAAGAAGAAGGCCGCTGCTACTCCCAAGGCCGCCGCCAAGACCACCGAGAGCGACGAGAACGCCGACGAGGAGGCCGAGCCCGAGACGCCTGTCAAGAAGAAGGCTACCCCCGCCAAGCGTAAGACTCCTGCCAAGACCAAGAAGCCTGCTGCTGCTGCTGCTGCCGCTGCTGCTCCCGAGAAGGCTGCTTCCGAGAATGAGGAGGCCGCTGATGGCGAAGACGCTCCTGCCGCTGATGTCGCCAAGCTTGAGGTCAAGGATGAGGCTTCCAATGGCGACGTTGAGATGTCGGGCGGCGCGAACACTGGCGAGATCTGAAGGATCTTGTAGCTTGTTTCTTTCCCCGTTGCGGTATCTCGCTTTCACTTTCGAGCCTTACGAATCTCTTCTAATAGCATTTGGAGTTTTTTCTGGTAATGGCAGTTTGGGGGCCTTTTGGTAGCTCGGACCGGCATTTAGGATGACACGGGGGTAATGAGGACGGGCATCGCTTGGGTCTAGATCATGGTTGAGACAACTAGGTCTCGTGATACCCTCATAGGTTTTCGGATAGCTTGGTAGGCCTGAAGACACAGGTTAATAGTTACATCGCATCATTGCACATGTTGTTTCCTTGGATAGGTGCGCTCGTGATGTTGTTCCCATTGCCGTGTTGTCCCTCGTAAGCCTCCATGTTGCCCCTCGTTCGGGCGAGGACTTGAGCATGTGAGAAAACTAACCCTTTCGACCGCGTCGCTTTATCTAGCCAAATCACGTAAGTTCTGACTCGCGCGACTTCTCAATGGTGTGATGCTTGAAGGCGGAGCTTGACCTGGCGTTTCCATCGTCCCATCCGCCCTGTGCCAAAGGGATGCCAAAGGGAGGGGCCACCATCCCTTCATGAACGTTGCGACAGGCACATGAACCCCAGACAAACCGACACCTTGCAGAAAATCTTCACCAGCCGTCAATCATAATCTCCGACATCAAGAAAAGAAGAAAGAAAGAAAAAGGTCAAAGCAAACATGTCTCGTCTCGCCCTCATCGCGACCGTCATCTCCACCCTCGCCAGCGTCGCCTTCGCCGTAGTCTGCACCCAAGCCGAAACCTACTGCGGCTCTCGCCTTCTCAAAGTCGGTTAGTATCCCTTCATCAGATCTTCTCATCTCTCGTTTAAAATCCTTCATGTTACCTCTTGCCTAACCTCAAGCGTAGATGCAAACAACCGTAAGGCGATTGAAGGGGCCTTGGCGTCAGGCAGGCAGTCCATCGACGACGCGCACATCAATCAGTCCGTCTTCTGGTGCGCACCACCAGGCGTACCCGTTCCGGGCGACTCGGGCCTCCTCTTCGTGACGTACTGCGGTCCCGAGAACGTCTGCCAGGAAGGTGGAGCGCTCGGGGGCGTCGGTGATGCATGCGCGGCGTCTACGGGTGGTGGGCTTAATCATCGGCGCCATCACCATCACCATTGAACACTTGGATCTATGTCTTGATGCGTAATGAAGCGTGGATGAATGTTTTATATCAACTACAAATGGGGCGGAAGAGATGTATTCAAGGGAGAAACTATATGGCTCGGATTTTGTCTATTCACTCTTTGAAAAAAGGTAGAAGAATATGGGAAATTATGACAAGGCATGGTACATACTCGTGTCACATCAACTTGGCGCCCTCTATGAGCACAGCCGACCATCTGCATCTCATTCCTTGATATACTTCTTCAACCCGCGAAGACGCTCCTTGGCCGTCTCAAGCACTTCGTCCTCCTTGCAGACCGCGAAACGGATGTAATCCGCAGCAATGTGCGCATTCTCGTCCGTGTAGAACTCGGTGGGCGGGATGGCGGCGACGCCCACCTCCTGGATGAGGAACCACGCGAGCTTGAAGTCGCGCGGGCGGCTGGCGACGTGGGGAGGGAAAGGATAGTCCTCGGGCAGCTTGACCTTGGCCATGTTGACGAGGACGAAGTAGCCGCCCTCGGGCTCCGAGTAGGGCATGCCGAGCTCCTTCCATACCTCGTTGAAGCGATCCATCTTGCCCTTCATGTCCTTGATCGTCTCGTCCCAGAAGCCTTCCTTTTCGGCTTGCTCGAACCCTGTTTGGACGCAGAGTTAGTCACACTCGGATCCAAGGTTGAAGGGGGGTAAAGGATGCAGGTGGGGGAGACAAGGGGCAAACATACCGACGGCGCAGGCTTCTTGCAGAGGCGACACGGAAGAGTAGCAGATGCGAGTGTGCGCGGCGGAAACGTGCTGGATAAGCTCGGCAGGACCCATGAGCCAGCCCACGCGCCAGCCGGTTGCGTAAAAGTTCTTGCCCGCGGAGCCAACGGTGATGGTGAGGCGCTCGACCTCGGGGGAAAGCGTGGCGATCCTCGTGAAGGGAACGTAGTACAGGCGGTCGTATACCTCGTCGGAAAGGATGATGATCTCGTTCTTGACACATAGGTCGCCAATCTTCTGGAGCTCCTCCTTGGAGAAGACTTTGCCAACGGGGTTGTCTGTGTCAGAATGTCAGCAAAATGTGCCCTGTACCCGGCGTTGCAAGGGAAGTGATGACGAACGCGGTGTGTTGAGGACAATCATCTTGGTCTTTGGTGTGATGGCGCGCTCAAGCTCGTCAAAGTCGATGGTCCAGTTGGCGGCGGACGATGTTGCCATGGCGCCGTCTGAGGGAGGATGCAGGGGAACGTAGGTGATCTTGCCGCCGGGCATCTCAATGTTACTGATGTACCTTTCAAAAGAGTCAGCGTATCTGGGACGTGTCTTAAGCAGTACTCATGGTCTAGCCTACTGGTCGAAGAAGGGCTCAAAAACAATGACCTCATCACCGGGCTCAATAAAGGCCATGAAAGCACTCAGCATGCCTGGCCACCAGTCAGTCCCTTGTTCTTAGATCGTCTTACTCCTCTTCAGGGCTTCTCATCGCACCCTCGTTTGCGCCAGTAGTGATGGTGACCTCGGTCTCGGGGTCCAGCTTGCGGCCCCAGTGAGGGGAGTAGGCATCCGCAATGGCCTTCTTGAGTCTCGGGCGGCCCTTGGTAGGGCTGTACTGGTTGCACTCAACGCGGTCCAGCGCTTGCTTGGCGGCGTTGATGATGAAGTCGGGAGGGTTGTAGCCAAAGAACCCCTGGCCCATATTCACAATGGGCTGTTTGGGTGAAGCGGCAGCGGCCTCGTTAATGATGGACCTGGTCTCACGGTCAGCATGTTGCACTCAATTGCTCATCATCCACCGACAGAGATGCGTCAAAAGCAGCGCTGGCGCATACTTGTCTCTCTCTCTCACGACCGGAATCTCAATACACACCAGACATCCTGTCGCCTGCCGGCGACGCGGGCCGCGGGCTTGAGCTTGCTGCTGAGAGACATTGCGGTGGACTGGAAACCTCGTCTGGCGGTACTGGTGCTGATGATGCGCGACCGGAAGAGAGGGAGGACGAGGGAGGTCATGAAGAGGGCAATGGATGAGAAGAGGAATCGGAGCGGCACGGCGAAGAGGGCTGTGAGTCGGCCTCCTCGATTACCTATCCGTAGCACTCCAGAACGAAGCTCCGAAAATTGGAAGACGCTGATTTGCTTCACGGCAGCTCGAGACCCATTTCCCGTCTGGAGTGTTTGAATGGCGTAATCGGCCGTCCCGATGTTCGGTGCTGCAGTCCACGCCCTGTGGCGGGGTGAGCCGGCCCAATGCGCTTTTTGGCGGGGTAAATATTTCTTATGTAATCTGACTGAGCCGAACCGGGGATTCTCCGGTGCAGTTGGAGTTTTACCCCGCGATTCTTCGATCAATTAACCCCAACCTCATTCATTGTCGCGCAGAGAAACCCGCAGACTCCAATAATACATTGAGTTTACGGGAGACTTTAGGCAGCACAATTTAACCTCTTTTGGCTGGGATTACTCGGACTTTGTTGTACGAAAAATCCGAGTCCATAGAGGAACGTTTTCTCCCTGATGACAATTGAAGACACCTGAGGCAGGGTACGTTGCCGCCAGCTATTTGGGTCTGGATCCGAACTTCGGGTGTCAGCCTCCCATCACAGCCGCAGATGCCACAGCATTGGATGCATGTGATTTACAATCCATAGAACTCTTTTGTCGATGTTTTCCTGATTTCAAATGCCTTCGCTGGGCATGCTGTCTTGCATGGATCAGTCAAGACACAGTGCCGTCATATGAGTCGATGCTGGTTAAGGATTCGCGAGCTAGGTATCACGGAATCCTCTCAAGTTGGCCGTTGTATCAAGTAAAAGTCGCACGAACGTATCATAGACCACAATATCCAAGCGGAAGGGTCACTCTAGGACAAGAAAGACGGTTTAATGCAGGAGTCCAGTTGTGCTAGAACTACAGTTGACGCCAGTGTCAGCAAAATCCTCTTCGTGGTTAGCTTGTAGAACCACCTGGGTGTGGCTATGCGCTCCTCAATTCGTCCGAAAAACAAGGCTTACAAGGCGCCTTTTGACAATGTATTGTCTATTCTTGTAGTCTTGCCGTTTACTTGCTGCTTCCGTGATCCATCTCTTTCCCTCGATGGCAACCTCGTTACCATAAGTAGACGACACCGGCCCCTCTTCCTGCCTACTTTATCTCATCCATCTATTATTTGTCATATTTGTAGTCTTTACTTGAAGGTATCAACTGCGTTATACAATTAACACCAAGATCCTACATTGCCAGAAGCTCACGATGCACTTCCCAACTCTTGCCTTGATCATCTCCTTCACCACTGCGGTCATCGCCAACCCGGTGGATCTCGAAGTTAGAGACGACTGGGCCAAAGTGGTCTCCTTCAGTGACGATCTCTGCAACTCATACCAAAGCACCTTTGAGGTGACTGGCAGCGGTGCGTACCGATGCATATCCGTCACCAATAAGCGATCTATCAAAGTCCTTCAGAAGAGGTATGTCTATTGATTACTCCCAACTCAGGTAAAATCTAACCCCCTCCAGGGATTGTACGATCAAGACGTTCAGCGGGTCGAACTGTGGTGGCAGCCACTTTACCCTTCCCGATGGCGACCTTGACTGCCACTCCGTCTTGCATGCGTCTGTCGAGATCTCGTGTTAGAGACTGAAGAAACGAGCTTACTCGGTGACGAGAATCTTGTGGGGCTTTTTGTCTTTCAGACTTATGGGATGTGAGAACGATAGGTGAGATACTTGAGACTAAGGACAGAAAAGAGAGAAAAAGGGGGGGGGGGGTGGGGAAAACCAAAAATTGATGACCACCTCGCAAATCGAAGTGCTGTCGCATGACGTACCTCAGGAGACTTCACTGATACTCTACCCATCAAGCATTTTGACTGGTGGTCTGTGGCAGGTGAAATGCTGTTGGTGCCTATAGCACCTCCCTGTGTTGAAGATGAGCGAGTCCCTTTGCGGCCGACCTCTATGGTCAAACCTTCTGGCTAGCGCTGCTGTATGACTGACTACGATCCTGTATTATACTATGCTGTTTAAATTTCAATCATTCTTTGAAGTTGAGCACGTACTTGGAGCTTATAACGCGCACCACGTACTTGATAAGCAGTGCTTTTGTAAATATGACGTGGCTAAGCATAAAGCGTATACCTGACTCAATGACCTTGTATTTGAGTGACTGTCAGAGCTGACCATCCAACCTCTCTCAAGACCTCAGGGGAAGAAGAAGAAGAAGAAGAAGGCTGGACATCGAATGACGGATCCTACGCAAAACTTGACAATATACACTGCATCTCTTCTTATAATCACTCAATGCGGATCTCCGCTTGAAATAAAAAAGTAATTCTAAGACGTCAACATCAATCACTACAAGCTAGGGTTGATTTGCACAACTTGTCTTTCGGTATCGTCATTCCCGTGGTAATTAGACCATCGAGCAGATTCAGTAACCGTACCGAATCCTTGCGCCTTATGACTTTCTCGCTGCTAAGATGATTTGCAAAATTTCTAGGTAGCTACGAACTGAAGTGTAGAGTTCATATACTTGTCCCTACTCACCTAGTATCCGAGGTACTCGTCGTGCTGTTTGATGGTAAGTTGCCTGTAACGTCAAGGATTCGACCTCCACTCAATCTGCCGTATTCCGACTGCTTAAAGAACTCCTTCTCTGATTGGTCAATTGTCAAACTACTACTAACAAGCTGGGCGGAAAGAGGCACATTCGTCCCGTGTCAGCTAAGCTTTTTGGAGCATTAGCGCGGCAGGCTACGTCCCCCAATCTCCCAGCTCTGGAACGTCCTTCCACTTTGTACACGAATAGCAGGGCCCAAAAAAAGTTGCACCTTCCACACACACAGTCCACACTCACCCACCTTCCGAACCAAACAAGCAAGGAAGCTGCATGGCACTTTCCCCCTGTTGCGACTTGCGTGTCTGAGAATCGTCGCCCATTCCAGGCATTCTTCAGGCACTTCTTTCCTTCCATGCTCCAACAAGAGAAACGCGGCTGAGGGGACGTACCTTCCTATTCGTCACACACGCGCGGCACAGGTGTCGCCTCACACAACCATGATCCCCAACTTAATCTCATCGACTCCCGCCTGCCTCGCGGCGCAGTTTCCCTCTCCCTCCCTCACAATGCCGTCGTCGTATTACACGAGCCTTGCCCTCGCCGAGCTCGACTGCATACCTCTCCTCTTTCCGCCTGCGATGCGCTGATCCACAACTCCCCAAATCTCAATATGATCGCAGTCAACTCTCGCCTGCGAACGATCCTGCCCCTAGCTGCTCTCTTCGCCCTAATCCTCGTTCTTGTTCGATTCCACGAGAGCATTATCAACCTAGACTCTCTATACAATTTAGCAAAGCATACCAAGACCACGCCACCATCTTCGAGTGGCAAGGACAACAAGCAATCGCTCTCCTCCGAGACCCCAGTCTACAAGCCAGCGCCGACGTACACCTCGCCTCCGGTAATCGACCCCTTTCCCCTCCTCGCCAACACCGACTCGCCGCCCCCCTCGATCCCCGCGCACAACGTCCCGCGCAACGGCCTACACAAAGACTACGGTCTCGATGCGCAGCCCCCGCTCTTCATCGGTTTCACCCGCCAGTGGCCTATCCTCCTCCAATGCGTCGTTAGCTACATCACAGCAGGCTGGCCGCCCTCCAGCATCTACGTCCTCGAGAACACGGGTGTCCAGTTCGCCAACGCCCAGGGCAAACTCTCTCTCCAGAACCAGTTCTACCTGAACCACACGACGCTCAAGCGACTAGGGGTCAACGTCATCCAGGCACCTGCCCTGCTCTCCTTTTCGCAGATGCAGAACATGTTTTTGCACGAGGCGCACAAGAACAACTGGCCATACTACTTTTACTCTCACCAGGACGTTCTCGTCTTTTCCTTTGAGGACGGCAAGGACGACGTCCACCGGCCCGGGGATCGAACATGGGAGTTCTACGATGAGGAGGAACAAAATGATATCATGAACCCGGCCGCGGCGGGACAGCAGGGCTACCGCACAATATACGAGAACTGTCTGCGCGATCTCGATACCACATTAAAGCGAAAGGAGAAATGGGGATTTCGCTGGTACCAATACGACCACTTGACGCTGGTGAACCGCGCCGCAATGGACGCCATTGGTGGGTGGGACTCGCTGATCCCATACTACGCGACCGACTGCGACATGAACGCGCGCCTGGCCATGGACGGCTGGACGATGAAGCACCGTCGGGCGGGTATCATCAACGACATCTCGACTCACCTCGAAGATCTTTCTGTCCTGTACAGGGTTCCGGGGACGGTCCCGAAAATGGTCGACCCGAACCCCCCACCCCCGCCTCCGCCCCCGCCGCTGGCCGAGAAGAAGCCCGAGGACGAGAAGACAAAGGGCGACAAGCGAGACGACGAGCCCGCGGCGAATACCACTGTCGTCAACGAGGCGGAGTACTTCCGCGCCGTGGTACAGACGGGCCTGGAAATGACAGACTACAAGTACAGAGACAGCGACCACAACCGCAACTCGTGGCAAAAGAGCCAGCACGGCGGCGAGGGTGAGCCGTATTACTACGACGCCGCCGGGTTCGCAGAGGCATTTGAGGTGCTCGTCGCTGCTGGGCGCCGGGTCTTTGAGCTGAAGTGGGGCCGCGGCGGGTGCGATATCGCCGAGGGGTTCGGGCTGAAGATTACGGACCAGTGGCGCGTCTTGCCTCCGGAGAAGAAGGATAGATGAGATGGGAGTGTGTGGTTGAATGGGCTTTTTTTTTTTTTTGCGCGAGTCACGGCGATGACGTCGTTTTTTGGGGAGTGCGATGTCACTCACTGGTTTCATGGAGTCGATAATGACTCGTCACATGCGGACCTGATTCGGTGTCCCAAAGAGCTCGAAAGTAGTCTGGCGATATAGCGTCAAGACATTGAGAGGCATAATAGAGTTAGACAAGTTTTTTCCAAGCATCATTTCACCGGGTCAAAACAAGGGAAAGGGAAAAGGCCATTAGCATATAATGATATGATATTCAATGGTCAAAGCCATCTATGCGGGTAATTTGTGTAAACGCACTAAAGTGCCTATCCAACTCCTACGTTGAAGGAAGAACTTTGTACGGCGTTTGATGCCATATGCTACTAATGAACTGGGTAAAAGGGAATGGAAAATAAAAAAACCAAAAAAGGGTTGGATGAAAACACAGATGAGAAGAATCGTACACACAGTCGGTGCTGCTCTCAAAATGCCAATCCCCCTTTGCCCCCAAAAGACGCCAATACCCCCGTTCTATCTAGGTATCCCAGGGTTTTCGTTTCGGAAATCCAAGTAAAAAAGATTTCAACACACACACAGTGGAGCTAGCCTATCCATCGGCTCGGTTATACCAGTTTTTCTGTGTAAAAAGTAGAAAGACTGGATTTCAACTTCTTTTCGGGCCAAAATGCTCTTGCTCTCACTCCTCTTCGTATCTCCCCCTCACACACGTATCGTCAAAAACAAAAGGAAATAGTAAGACAAGAGAGACACTCATCTCTACTAGAGAGATGCTGCGCTGCTCTATGCCTCGGTAATGTTTCTCGCCAGGGCACCACCAGCTTGGATCTCGTTGGGCGCGAACTTGATCCCGCTAGCCGAGGCCGCAATCTGCGACTTGGGCGCGTACGCCGACGTGGCGGTGCCGCTGCGGAGAACCTCGTCCCGCGTGACGCCGAACTTCTCGGGGGACAGACCCATGGAGCGGAGGAAGTGCACCGTCTCGGTCCACTCCTGGTCCTTGCGCTTGGCGTCCCATCCGAGCTCCTCGGCCATGACGTCGATCACACGCGGCAGGGCGCGGAGCGCGGACTCGGCGTCGAGGAAGGCGAGGCGGGTGCGACGGGAGATGAGGTCCGTTGCCGTGAGGGCGGCCTCGGCGCGGACACCGTGGCGGATCTCGCCCTCGACAAAGGGGAAGTTGGGGATGATGCGCTCGCGGTCGGCGGGGGTGGTGGCGACGGACCAGGCGCGGTCGCCGTAGTTGTGGGCGAGGTGGTGGGCGACGTCGGCGTCTAGGGCGAAGTGGGTGATGAGGTGGCCGGGAAGATGCTTTGAGAAGCCGTGGGCGCCGACGAGGGGAATCTTGGTGGTGATGCAGGCGCCAGTTGTGGTGAAGGGTGCGAGACCCGCGCCGGAGATGTCGGGGAGGGAGACGGGCTTGGGGGCGAGGTTGAAGGTCTTGATGGCTTCGTCGACGGCGTCTTCGGCCATTTGGCGGTAGGTTGTCCACTTGCCGCCGGCGCAGGTGAGGAGGCCGGAAGAGGAGACGGTAACGAGGTGGGAGCGGACGAGGGATTCGGTGTTCTTTGCGTTGGGGTCCTTGACCAGGGGGCGAATTCCTAGCGTGAGATGTTAGTTTTCTAGGTCTTGGAAGCGATATCGGAGTGAGGGGTAGTAAGCGAAGAGAAACGTACCAGACCAGGCGGAGAGAACATCGGCGCGGGAGAGGGCGGAGTCGGGGGTAATCAGCTTGTTGACCTCCTTGAGAATGAATTTGATATCGTCCTCGCGGGCAATGGGCTCGCGCTCGACGGGGGCAGCGTTATCCGTGGTTCCAGCCAGAGTGTATCCTTGCCAGGGTAGAACGAATATGACACGACCGTCCGAGGTGGCAGCATCCAAGAGACCGATTCCGTTAGGGCAGATGTCGCCGGGCAGCATGATGTGCGCACCAGAGGCCGGGGCGACGATGGGCTTGCGGTCCGGGTTGTCCATGCACTCGATTGCGTCGGCAAAGGGGCCAGTAGCGTTAATGACGCCCTTTGCGCGAACGGTGAAAGGGGTGCTACCGGGGTTCTTGACGTCGCGGACTTGCGCGCCCGTGATCTTGCCGGTGGAGGAGTTCTTTTCCAGAGAGGTGACTTCGACGTGGTTGAGGACGGTGGCGCCGTAGAAGGCGGCGGTGAGGGCGAGGGAGACGTTCATGCGGGAGTCGTTGTGCTGGCCATCGTAGTAGACGAGGGCGCCAACCATGTTGTCCTTTCTGAGCTTGGGGAAGGCCTCCATGGCCTTCTTGGTGGAGACGTAGTAGGAGCTCTCGAGGCCCTGGGAGCCGGCGAGAAGATCGTACGCCTTTGTGCCGGCCCAGAAGTAGGGAGTCTGCCACCACTTCTGGATGGGCAGGAGAATAGGCAGAGAAGAGGACAGGTGCGGGGCGACGTTGAGGAAGGTCTTGCGCTCGTGAAGAGCCTCCATGACGAGCTCGAGTTGGGAGTAGTCGAGGTTCCAGACGGCCTTCTCGAGGTAGCGAACACCACCGTGGACAAGCTTGGTGCTCTTGGAGGAGGTTCCAGCAGAGAAGTCGTCGCGCTCGACGAGGGCGACCTTCAAGCCGCGGGTGACGGCGTCCAGAGCAATGCCGGTTCCCGTGGCGCCGCCGCCGATGACGAGGAGGTCGTACTCTTGAGCATCGGAGTTGTGGGCGCGCAGGTCGGCCAACTGTGAGGCGCGGTCCTTTGTAGCGGGGAATGAGGGGGGCACAATCTTGCCCTGGTCATCGCGCTTGAGCTCGACGAGGGCCTTGTCGAAGTTGTGAGCGCCGCGGCCGCTGAGGAAGGTTGAGTAGGCGACGACACCACCGGTTGCCGCAGCGGCAGCGATGGCGACGGGTCTTCTCAGGCTTGAGAAACGAGACGCCATGCTGGCGAGTGTTTCTTGTGTGGTTTCTCTTGTATTCTCTTTACTCGGTGAGGTTTAGACCGAGTCCGAGAAGGACGGGACGATGACGATGGGAGGTGCGTCTGGTATAGGTGACCAGTCCAGGCGTGTAGGGTGAGATGTCCTTTTGGTGAATGCTTTCCCTCGATGGGTGATGTGTTGGGAGGGGGAGGGGTTCACAGGTTGATGATCCTGGAAAGAATCAGGAAGGTGAAGGTAGGGGAGAAGAAGTAAGAATAAGAGGTAGGAAGAGGAAGAAAAGCTCAAGGGCTTAAGAGGGACCGAAGGGGTTGAGAATTGTCGATCGATAGGTAGGTAGATGACCCAAGCAAGTGGGTAGATTCCGGGTGGCAGAAAAGCAGGAAGCTGTGCTCGTCCGGGCTGGTCCGCCTCACCCGCAACTTTGGACTGTTATTCGTGGAATGACACCCCGAGCTCGAGAAGGAATGGTCCCGTTTGGCGCGAGCAAAAATCTTCCGTTGGACTGACTGGGCAGGGCGGGAGAGCAGGGGAGGTGGGTAGCAAAGATGGGAGAGAGGGCGACCTGATGTGAGGAAAATAAAATAAAAATAACGAAACTTGAGCCCAGCAAGAAGAGGCTAAAAGTAGATCGGGGGGTGGAGGGGGGTACGAAGATACCTTGTGATGACGGAGATCGGGGGATGGATGGACGGACGGGGGGTCAGACGGAGAGAGAGAAAGAGACATGCAGCTTTGGCCGGTAGCGATCGATGGAACACACGGACAAAGCATAGAGGATGCCAGCTCAGACACAGACAGCTCTTGCTTGGTATTCAAGGTACCTACCTACCTTATTGCTCGCATTGCCAATTGGATCTTACCCCCACGTGGTCGCAGGCGCGTCTGCGGTATGGCGGCATGGCCCCGAATGCTTTACTGATTGATACCTTGTCTGTCCTGACCACCCTGCCAGCTTTTTGCTACCTTACATTCATGCTATGCCACATCACCGTATGCTATCATCTATCGCAGCTTCATCCGCTACATTGTATTGTGGTGGACGGTGGCGGTGGTGAATGACAAACGGTCTCCGGAAGCAGCAGCAATGCACTCAAGTCGGGGTCTGACATCATGGGGCACCGAGCTCACTCCGAGCTAGCAATTAGCAAGCAAAAACAGCACCCAACACTGGCTGAGTGACTGAGCAGAGTCAGGACATGCAGTGAACCGGAGTGAGTGAGAGACACAAGGGGACCCGCTTCTTGTTCGTCATGTCGGTAACGGCGCAGGATCCAGTATGGAGAAATGAATGGGGAAAAGGCTCGCAAATCTGGAGGTGGGAAAGAGACGTCGGTGCCATCCTATCCGTATGCGTAGAGGATCCATAATTGTTTGGTGTTTCCAGTCAGAGCCTCAAATATGCCATCAGGGGTCCGCCTGCACCTCGGTGTCGACAGTCCGAGATGGTGACATGTTTTCGGTATTCCCTCGGTGCGGATGATACATGGAGGTTTGTACCCCTGTCTCGGTGCTCTCGGTTGACATCGCCGACCACTGAAGAAGAATTGGAGAAGGTGCCGCCGGGGTTCCCACAGAAAATAGAAGGAAGGGTCCCGCTGAGGAGCCTGAGATGAAAAGTGCAAGTGGGGTCCAGGAATTTGGAGACGACCTGGAAGGCTCCACCTTTGAGGTTCGCAATGATCGGCGGAATCCTCCGGCCAAACAGTACGTACCTTACTCTTCCACTTTAGCCCCTGCTTCCAGCCCTGACCCTCTTTTCCCGTGCCACACGCGCCTTCTCCTCTTTTTGCTGATTCTCACCATCATCAGTCTCCACTTTGGCAGTGCCAGACGGCGACACTGCGGTCTCGACCCTCGCTCGTCCTCGGTGTTGCATTCCCGTCACCACATCCACACCACAGAGTCACACAGCACCGCACCACCACCCACCGTCCAATACCACAGAGCAGTCCAATCCAATCACGCTCACTGCAGAATCAGCAGCAAGGCACAGTCACTCGCCTGCTGGATCTCGAGACACGCATTGCAGATGCCCTTCCTCACCCAGTCAGCCAGTATTAACAATCACC